CACTATTTCTGACGGATTTGTATACATCCATGTGTGTTTATACCACAAATCTTCTTAGGACAGCAGACTCCTTCCTCCAGCACATCAACTGCATACTCTCCCTCCCTCTCGCACAGCGGGGCAGGTTCATAACTGCACTCGGGTTCCACAGGAACCACACTACCATTCTCCAGACACTTGAACAGACAGCAGCCACGCAGAGAGCCGTTCCACACCTCACCCGGGGCGCGTGGAGCACCATCGTTATCCGTACACACTGATCACATGGAAATAACAGGCCATTAAGGCAAACAGCACTTTCTTTTGCATGCAAGCAAACGCATAGTGTGGCATTCTCACCGCACTGGTCCTCGGTGACACAGAAGGCGGAGTCTGCTCGGTGCAGGATGGTGCCGCTTTTACACACACACTCCTCTCTGATAGAAGAACAGGTGCTCTCCTCGTAGTAATCTCGGTTTTGACATGTTCGAGTCTTACATGTATTCACACAGGCTTTATATTCTTTACCAGGAGGACATTTGAGTGCTGCGTGTACAAACACATACGCAAAAGTGAATAAATATGCCACCAGTCAAAAGTGAAGCATTTAAGCAAAAACCTTCAGATGGTTTTTATGAAAATGCGTCCAAACATTTGACTAGTAGAGTATCTGTAAACACACTCACGGCAGAAGTTGCTTTTCCTCCAGCTGAAGCAGATCTGATGCGTGTAACAAATGGCCACATAAGCAGCCAGGAAGTCACACTCATGCTCTTTATAATGTAGGTCACCAGCCCATATCTTATCACAGAAGTGTTCTGGAGAAACCTTCAAAACAACATTTGGAAAAATAATCCATGATAAAATGGTCACATGTAGGGTAAGTATGAACTTTCACAAGCCAGTGGGGATGAAATTTCTCTATATTTCGCCAGAATATTAGCAAAACGTCAAATCAAAGGAAAAATCAGTGTTGTTTCAGTACTATTTATATACTATTATAGTAATTATTAATAACTTGAATTAGCCTTTATTTTATATTTCAGGTTTCCTTTTAATTTGTTTACTTTAGTAATTTTGTTATGGGCTTTTGCTACTATTTTGCTTTGATTTATTTTTATTTTAGTAATTTTAGTATTTCAACTTTTCAACTTTTTCAACTTCAAACTTTTACTTACTTTTATTTAGGTTTTATATTCAGTTGCCAAGGCAACATTTCAAATTTTTATGTTTTATTTTTTTAGTTTTTAATCTAATATTTATATTTTATTTATTTCAGCTTTATTTTTCCATTAATGTAAATGATCTGTAATAGCTTTAGTTTTAGTCAACAATAACAACATAGTTAAAAATGGGGGGAAAAAAGGGTAAAACAACCCCTTTATAAGGATTAATACAGTATGTGGGCCAAATTATGTATATCGAAAATGTAATGATTATTTAATTCTTTTAAATGTGAACAAGCTAAATAAGATTTTATAGCTAACGTTAAACACTCGTATTTACAAACAGCTTGTGCAATGGATGCAAGTGGGATGTTTGCACATGAATATGTATTCAAGCTTGTGTGTTGTACCTTGTGGTGACATTTAGAGAAAGGTCTTTGGTTGAGCATGGTGAAACATTTGGAGCAGTTGCCGGTGGTGCAGTTGTCTCCCACTCTGCGGAAGTAATCTGTATCCTCTGACGTATCCACCATCCATCCGTGCAGAAACACTGGGATGTCCTCAACATCCCGGACCACAGTACCGTTGGGCAGCCGCAGGTCATCAGCTGGATTACCATCACAACATCCTGAGAAAGAAAACAAAATATATCAAACACACTTATATGACCACAAATGACCGAAGGCTGTTATTAAAAGCAACAGAAAAAAACACATTCAGCTTCCAGAATGTGACATATTTCAGAATTAAACTAAATAGCTATTCATACAGGGTGGGACATTTTTTATCTGGATTTGGACATATTGTGAAAAGTAGGATATTATATTATTATTCGTCTACAAAATGCGAGTACAATACACTGACCACAGAGCCCCCTAGTGGAGGTGTTATCAGGAGCCGTGTACTGTAGGACCATGATGCCAGTGCTGTGGTACCACTTTATGTTGATCCCACCAGGTGTATTAATGATGTACATGGTCCCGGTGTCATCAATATTGAGGTTCTGTCTGGTGAGAGGAAGCCGGGCCGTAATCTGATTCACCGACACCTGTGTCAGATCAAACCATTGTTACACAGCAATATAAATCACATTTATGAGTCACAATTAAGCGGAGACACAAGATGCATGAATTATGATACAATTTTGACTTTTAAATAAATGAGAATTTCTATTGCAATTTTTTTGGATTTTACTCAGCAACCAATTTTATATTATGTAATTGCTGCTGAAATAATAGCTAATATAATAATACAGGTTTGTGTTTTGTTGTGTTCAGAACAACATGACTTCATGACTAAACAGGTCAAATCTTGCAGGCATTACCTTCCGGTCCAAGCGGTTGACCATAATTCTGTACGATTGAGTTGTAATGTTCAGCTTCTTAAAACACAGACCAGAGGTTCCACCAGAGGGAGTCTAACAGGAAGAGAGAAAGTAAACGAGCTTGTCATCCTCATTAGGATGATTATAATAGATAACATTTTAACATAAATATGCTAATAACACACTCACGGGTCTTCTGATGTAGTTCACACTCTGGAAGCAAAAGTCAAGCATTTAATAAAATGTAAAAAGCATATATAGAAGACCGCATATTTCCTCATGGTAGAGTGTTAGCTTGGGTTTACCTCACTGGTTGGGCATTTCTCAATGTGCCCAACTATTTTCTCTCTGGGCAGGTGGACCAGAATATAAGAACCGATATCATACAGAGCCACATTATTCCCATCAAACGTGATCACACGCAGGTCAGAGATTATAGAGCAGCGACCTGACAGAACACAAACACAGTCAAACATTAAACACCAATAACATGATAAAGCGTTTCTGAAGAACACTTTAACTTAATCAGTGTTGTTATTGTTAACAAAAACTATTAAAAATTGTTTTCAGTAACTGAAATAAAATATAAATATTAGATGAAAAACTTAAGGCCTGTTCAAACCAAGAACGATAACTATAAAGATAACTTTATTCGTTTCCACACCAATGCACGATGATGTTCTGTTTATTATAAGCGTGCGCTGCAGTTTTGTCATTTGTTGCTTTAAATGCTTGAGATCTTTAAAGCAGGATGGAGACTGACAACAAAGTTTTGTGTTCATCAGCTGGAAAAAAATTGTTTTGAAAGTGATTCCAACGATATAATTTCTCTGTGTTATTATCATTATGGTTGTGGCTATTCTTATAAATTTAGAATGATTTTTAAAACTATATATTAATCGTTATTGTTATAGTAATCAGTTATAGTCCTTGGTGTGAACAGACCTTTAAACTAAAAAAAAAAAAAAACCTTGAGTGAAAATTAGAAATGTTGCCTTTGCAACTAACTGAAAACTAAAATTGAAATTGAAAATAAATCAAATCTATATACTGTAGAAATATAAAAAAAAAATACTAATTACTAAAAATAGCTTAAAAATGAAAAAGAAAACTAAAAATAGAGATATAATATTAATATAGAATATAAATAAAAAACTAAAACACCACAGATATAAACACCTCCCATCTAGAGCAAATCTGTGTGTATGTCTTACATGGGCACTGCCACAGTGGGCAGCAGGGGTCTGTGTTAGTCTGGATCGGGGTCCCCAGCAGGTTGCACTGAGGCTGGCTGATGTTGTATCTGCAGTGCTGAGAGGAATTATGCAGCATCAGCTGTCCATTAAAGCAGATGTACTCACTGCACTCGTCAACACGCAATGAATATGGAGGCTGTAAGGATACAAAACAGAGACGTTCACGAGTTAGAAAGCATATAAACACTTCCACCACCAAAAGCTATATAAGGCACCTCTGGATGATTTTAGAAGGGATGCATTGATTAATTATCTTTTTTGTTCTTGAGTTATATTATGACAGATTTATCAGTTATTCACTGTACCACATCTTAACCCATGATTCTTCCCTCAGGGCATCAACATCCTGGCAAGCAGACAGGAATGACTTAAGAACAAAGAGTTAAGACTGGTAGAAGTGTTCACCCTATATAAATTAATGACTCGTTTTGAAGATGTCAGGGAGGGAAATGGGAGACGTCAACTCTCACTTTTAGTACTGTTGAATCCATCACTGATATCTCAGGGAAGATGAACAAAAACATATTTTTCAAAACATATCAAAGGCAAAACATATTTTTCTTAGAACACTCAGACATACTAGGGATTTTAACAATTCTCTGATTCTTAATCTTTAACTACAAGTTGTTGCCTGAACAACCACTGACTAATTACACCAATTTAAGTCTCATGAGTCTCAGCTGGACATACAGGTAAGTACGTTTTTTTTTTTTTAAGTTTCATTCATTCATTTTATTGACTTCAAATTCAAGGATTGAGTCAACAAACGATTCTTTGAATAAGTTAGTGAGCTATTGAACCGATTCAAACAAGTTCAACCCATGAGATCAAGACTGATATGTGTGTTTTAGTTTAAGTTTTACTAATATTGTTATCTGCTTTTGTAATTTTTATTAGTTCAGTATTTTTTTTATATTTCGATTTAAAATATTTAAGCTCTAATAAATTTTTTTCTGTTTTAAGTTTTATTCGTTTTTTTTATTTCAGCTTTATTTTAATTAATGAAAATGATTTTTAATAGTTTTAGTTAACAATAACAATACAAGAAAGATGTCTTGTCCATTAAATGTATTTGTATTATGGCTATTATTCATTCACTGTTTATTCAAAAACCATTAAAAGAACTAAACACTAAGAACATTGTTCCTTTTCATATTTAAAGTATATTTTACCATGAATATCATCAAATACTATAAAATGAAAATATTTAATAAGAATGAGCAACCCTAACACAAACTCTTACAGTGCAGGGCCCTGTGGGTAGAAGGAACGGAGGAAGCACTGTTGTTATTCCTGCTGTCTCCGGTGAAGGGGAGGGTGAAGGCATTATCTCAGAGGTTGTTGGTACTGCTGCTGTAGTAGTCGAGGGCTCCTCGGTTGTCGTGGAGACAGATGTTGTCTCCGCGGTGATGGTTGTTGAAGTCGGTTCTGAAGTTGTGGTCTCAGTTGTAATAACAGTGCTGGTTGTAGCGGGTGGGATGGTGGTTGTCGGAGAGGTCGTCTCTGGTTCGGTGGTGGGCTCGGGTGTGGTCATCACCTCTGTGGTTGAGGTAGATAAAGTGGTAAAAAGTGTTGTTATGGGCTCTGTAGTGGGCGTGGCTGTGCTGGTGGGCGGGGCAGTGCTGACTAGAGGGGGTTCTGTGGTTGGTGGAGAGGGAGTTGTGGGAGTTTCAGTGGAGGTGGCCAAAGTTGAAGAGAGTGTGGTTGGTGGTAATGTGGGTGTAGTTGGGCTGCCAATTAAATCCTCTGCTTCCAAAGGTGTAGTTATGATTGTAGTACTGGCAGTTGTGCTCGGAGCGGTGCTTGCTGTTGCCGTTGTGGTGGAGGGAGTTGTTGTGGTTGTAGTTGTGGTTATAGGAGCAGAGGTCGGAGCCGCTGTGGTTCTGTTTGATCGGGTCACGAACATGTAAGGAGTCGGAGTTGGAGATAGTATCACACCTGCAAGCACATCAGAAACAACACAGGTGCTAAGACAAATCTAACAGTGTGCATAAACGTTTATAAAAGATAGGATGATGATGAAAATGATGCATATGATGGATTCACACGTACAGTCTTCTTTGTAAACACACCGCCTGGTCACTTCATCCAACAGCATAGACTTGGGACAGCGTGGAAAACAACCTTCAACCCTAAACCAGATCAGAGAGTGAAAGACAACAGATTTGGATTTTGACTTTTTCTGAAGAAATTGTGAGGGTGAATCTCATAACAATATGTCTAGGTCATGTTTCCTCATAATAATAGATTTTGCATAAAAAACATGAAGCCTGTTTAACATTTTCTTATGCATTGTGACATGATTTTCTTGACAAATAAGTATATACTCACCCCAAAAATATCACAATATGTCCAGATGTTTTAGTTTTTTGGTTTATTGTTTTTGTAGTCCACATTAATGATTTTCATTAAAATTTTATTTTAAAGGGGTCGTTCACTGTTTTTTTTTCTAGGCTTGATTGTGTTTATGGGGTGCAGTCTAACATGTCTTAATGCTTTGTTTTTTAAAAAATGCATTATTTTTCACATAATTTACCTTTATTCCACACCGCTCTGTCCCTTCTCTGAGAAACGTGCTGATCATTTCCTTCTTTTATGAAGCCCCTCCCTCAGAAATAGGCAATGGGCTCTGATTGGTTAGCTAGCCCAGTGTGTTGTGATTGGCTAAACTGCCTCTAGTGTGCGTCTAAACATCCCGCCCCTCACCTCAGCGGCATGTGCTCCGGTTGTATTGTAAACAACGGCATCGTTAATATCGCTTAACAGTTTGAGCCCGATTGAGAAGCAGAGGATATTATTGAAGAGGATCGTGCAGAACCTGTGCAAGCATGGCTTTTAATGGTAGGCCTATGTTTTTTGTTTGTTGTTGTCTCATACTTTTAGATACGCTGTTATTTGTAAATGCTACTGCTTATGTTAGCTTTTAATATAGTTTTATCCTGATTAAAGCTTTAATACAGTACGGCAACTGCATGCACGTCCATGTTTTAACGCTTCTCATAGTTATGTGAAAATAAGTGTATAATTGTAACAGTTCATTGTTGGAGCTACAGAATCGCGATTCATATATGAATAGATTATTACGTGCAAACTGGCACCTCCAGTTTTCTCTTCCTCTTCTCTAAAGCAGCGCCGCATGGCCACGCCCCCTTTGTTGCCTTTTCCCGAGGGCGGGGTTTATCTGGGTTTGTTATGTCACAAGCCCCGGGAAGTTTAATTAACCATGATTAATTTTGTGACTTCAAAAGTTTCAAGAACTGTACTGTATGTTCTACAGTTAAAAACAACAGTTATTGAGGTTATTAATGTTAAAAATAAAATTATTTTACATTTAGTATTTACAGGTGCATCTCAATAAATTAGAATGTTGTGGAAAAGTTCATTTATTTCAGTAACCTCAGCAGTGCCACAAACTGATCACCTCCATGCCATGCCGAATTGAGGCAGTAATTAAAGCAAAAGGAGCCCCTACCAAGTATTGAGTACATGTACAGTAAATGAACATACTTTCCAGAAGGCCAACAATTCACTAAAAATGTTTTTTTTATTGGTCTTATGAAGTATTCTAATTTGTTGAGATAGTGAATTGGTGGGTTTTTGTTAAATGTGAGCCAAAATCATCACAATTAAAAGAACCAAAGACTTAAACTACTTCAGTCTGTGTGCATTGAATTTATTTAATACACAAGTTTCACAATTTGAGTTGAATTACTGAAATAAATGAACTTTTCCACGACATTCTAATTTATTGAGATGCACCTGTATTATATTTATATTATATTATATAAAAATACATTTCCGTTTACATCTAGATTTCATGTGTTTTTTAAGCATTTTAAATCAGATTAGTTTGATTATTTTAATATATTAATAATTTATTCATTTAAATCCTTGAGGCCCCCTAGTGGGCCCCGTCCCCCTGGATGAAAACCACTGTCCTAAAGACTTCATTTTCATAAATATCTTTCTTTTGGTTTTGAAACATGACAATGTATAATACCGGCCTTAGCAAATGCCTTTTGTATAACTGTCACATAAATTATTATATTAGCATATGCACATGGTCTTACAGAGGTAAAAACTGGCAGCGTGTTGCATCGGGGTCGTTGCATGTTTTCACACATGGACTGGCACATGCATGATATTTCCACTCACATATCAAGCGGTAGGGGATCACAAAACTGCTCTCTAAAATGCAGGAACACAATCATCATAAACATTAGAGACATAAGAGAAAGCACTGCAAATGAGGTTGGTAAGCTTGTAGGTTTATAGGAGTTATCTGATTGTATTTTTGGTGTAATATGAGCTTATATGAAATCCACACTTCCAATAAGTCTGTTTCCAGTAAGTCTGTAAAAGTCTGTGTCTGCTCTGTTTAATACATTGCATTATATTTAAATCCATTCCATAATCAGTGCAGGTAATACGGGCCTGATGGTTAGATAAATTATACGTGCACAGTATATTTGATATATAGATATTTGCAGACCGGTCTTACCCTCAATGATAAAACTGCTGCTGATTTTGAAGGTGTATGAGTGGTCGTAGTTCTGAGCTCGTGCGTGTGTATGAGAGAGAGTGAGGAAGACACCCTTCTGACTGTGCAACTCAAAGGACGATCGACCAGGTAACCACAGGCCCTGGTGGTGGATGAAGGTCGCCTTACGTCGGAACTCTTCCCCAGGCTGCCAGTGTTCCAGTCGTAACCGACGGTTCCCAGTAACACACAGAAAGTAGTTGGGCCTCTCTGCAGACTCCAGTGAGACAACAGGAAGTCCTGAAACAGTGCAAAATACCAAATACAACATCAGTAGATGCTACTATTCAGCTTTAAAATAAATGATAGAGATAAGCCACATGTAAAAAAAAAATTATTTCAGAGGCTGGTCGATTTAGTTCAATTGTCTAATAAGATGCAGACATATGATCAGCTGAGGACAAAAAGGAAGGAAAACCTGTTTTCCCCCATTCAGTATAGCTATACAATAATAATAATAATAAATCAATAAAGAAATATGGTAACACTTTATTTTAAGGTGTCCTTGTTACACATTACATGTACTTACTATTATAATAACAATTAATTATGCATAATTACATGCAAGTAACCCTAAGACAAACCCTAATCCTAACCCTAACCATATAGTAAGTACATGTAGTTAATTAATATTACTCAGTACTTAAATGTATAATTACACCGTAACAAGGATACCTTAAAATAAAGTGTAACCAGAAATATTACTATTGCAATAATGCTACTGTAATGCAAAAACTTTGTAAAAATGTAATAATAATAAAAATATTATTTAAAATAATATTTCAATTGTAAAAATTAAACAAATGAATTAAGAATTATGTAACTATTGCAATTAATGTTTTTATTTTGTAAAATAAAAAGATTATAAGTATTATTATTAATATTACTATTATTGTTCGATTTTACAGTACAACAGTAAAATAACATTATTAATATTTGTCTTAATTACTTCGCTTTCAAATGTTAAATACAGTGGCTTTATTTTGACAACAGATTTGATTCTCATCACAAATTTGGGAATGTGGTTGGCAAGTTAAGTTTTCGAAAGCATAAGCTCATATGAGCTTGCAAAGATGGAGTTTGTGTGGAGCAGCATTTAATGCAAACTAATCCACTCCAAAAAACAACAGATCATTGTATTTTGCAGTAAAGCATGTGTATGATGCATATTAGTTTTAGTCTTTTTCTTTCTGCAATTCGTTTTGCTTTTTGTTTTGCTGTTGAAGTGAAGAGTATGTGCTCACTGGAAGCTCGGTCCTTGTATAGTCCAGTTGTGATCATGAAGTGGAAAATGGTGCTGGGTTGAGCGTTGGTCCTCAGAAGGGGAAACACTTCACCGCTGCTCACATTCGCCCCAAACACACATACAGAGTCATTCTGCTCTGCACTAGACAGAGTGAACGGACCCTCTCCCAGCTCTAACCAAGCATACATACATAAAAAACTTAGGGCAAGATCTTCTGGTGCTTACAGAAGTATTCTAGTCAAATAAACAGTATAAATCATTCTTACCTTGGTTGTAATATTCACAGTCATATGCTGTTTAAAGAAACATACTTATATTAGCCGCAATCAGGTTGTATTATGAGTCTGCATGTGTTCTTTCAACATTACCAGCTTAAAAAGCAACATGAAACAGCATTAGCTGCGCATTTAACGTTTTTAATGTGACAAATCTGCAACTGAAACAGAATACAGAATCAGAGTCTGGTTATATTAACACATCCTGACAGCAAAGAGAAGCAGTCTTGAAAAAGTACAAACTGAATGCTGGGTCAGTTTTGCATTAGAAATGTTAGTTTGTCTATGCGTACAGTATTAGGGTCAAAGACGAGACATCTCATTTCGGTGTCTGCATCAAATTAAATTTACAAAAGTGACTTGATAGAAAGCATATTAAATGTAAGTAATGTGTCGGCTTTAATATTTCAAATACCTTTTGTGAATATAAAATGTCAAAATATGGATGTTGAAATAATGCTCCATCCTCAATCAGCATAACAGATATATATTTATGTACAAATGAAATAACATACTCATTCTGACCTATACTTTAAAATATGAAAATATGATCATACTAAATTTCATTATATTTTAAATGATAAAAAACCTAGTGGTTTGCAGGATAGTGGCAAAAATTGGTAAAGATTTAAAATGCAATTTATTAGTTTTTAGGGCTGCATTGTGATCCTTAAATAGAGTTTTTTAATTAATGATTCTGGTTCTAAATATGCCCGACAATTTTATATAACAGAAACCAAAATAAAATTTAATAGGACACATTCTAATTTAAAGCTGAATTAAACTTGGAATTGTTTTGATGCTTGAAAACCCCTTTTCGTCTTTGACCCATTATCCTACAATGACGGGTCAGAAGTTCATTTGCTTCATTATGTGTGTGCTTGTACTCACGACACACAGTGGGGGATCTCCAGTTCACCGTGACACCATTTTGACAGCATTTGTGTGCATATGCTGCAATACTGGTACACAGACATTCACAGTCACCCCCACGGTTGCAGTTGCAGGTGTCCGTTAGACAGTTCTTATAAAACCAGGTCACATCCACCTGAGGGACCACAAGGATTGGTTACGCACAATAAATGGCTATCTAAAATCTCAATTAGCCTGTCATGAACACACAATTGGTTATGCAACACACACTCAGGACTACTGACTTCCACCTGAATGTGTTAATGGTAGAATGTTCTAGCTTTTCAAACCTATACAGCCCCCTATTGATCAGAATTTGAATGGCAAACCGTCTCAAAGCTTCTATCATAAAAAATCTATCAGATGGTTCATCGCAGGCAGTGTGTTGTGTCTGTCTCATGCCGTCTGCCAGCCTGTGTGTGGCTGTAGGTAAGACGTGGCCTATTTATCTGTAGACAAAATGTGTTGTTAAACCCCAGAGGAGAGCTGCTCACCACATTGTGACATGGAGCAAATACGTCACTGTAGAGAAGGCCGCACTCCCGCTTAGCATACGGCTGCCGACTGAGATCTCCTTCACACAGTCTGCGAACTACAAAGTCGCTCTCACACTGCACACACATTAACACATAAAAGCTGTTTAGTCAATCTAAACTTCAAGTGTAACTCAGTACAGTTTACTATGCTTTTACACTAGTAATAAAAGTATGGAAGAAACCATGGTTAACATGAAATTTTTTAAGAATACATACTGTATAAAATTGGGGGTCAGTGAGATTTTTTAATGTTTTTAAAACAAGGCTTTAATGATCACCAGGTCTGCATTTATTTGCTCAAAAATACAGTTAAGTAGACTAATATTGCGAAATATTATTTTATTTTAAAATGTAATTTATTCCTGTGATCAAAGCTGAATTTTCAGCATCATTACTCCAGTCTTCAGTGCCACATGATCCTTCAGAAATCATTCTAATATGCTGATTTTCTGCTCAGGAAACATTAAAGTGATAGTTTACTCAAAAATGAAAATTACCCCATGACTTGCTCACCCTCAAGCCATACTAGGTGTATATGACTTTCTTCTTTCATACGAATACAATCAGAGTTATATTAAAAAATGTCCTGGCACTTCCAAGCTTTATAATGGCAGTGAATGGCTGTTGGGATTCAATAGTCCAATAGAAGTCCAATAAAGTGCATTCATCCATCATAAAAAGTACTCCACACGTTTAAAAACTAATTTCTTTTAAAGAAAAATCTTACTGACCCCAAATGTTCTAACAGTAGTGTACATTTAGTGTACTCCAGTATCCTGAAGTGTCATACCTGTCCAACAGCCCAGCTGTCTCCAAAGGCCTGTGTGTTACTGACCTCCATATGTCCAGCTGTGGTCATGTCATTTACTGTTACCATGTCAAAGTTTCCACACAAACCACTCATTTGACCCTAAAAACACAGCCAAATACATTATAGTAAGATACATGGTTGATACAGTATAAAATTATACTGATGATCGAGAGAAAACAAGCTCTGACCTTCCACTGGGGTCCAGCACGAATATGGACAGTGGTCTTGCGGTCCCATAAAATGGTCAGATCTTGAGCAGGAAAGTGAACCACAGTGTAGTATCCCGCACCCCACAGCTGAAACTCATATCCTCTTCCCACAACAGTAGATGAGCTCTGACAAGCACAAACCAATTCAAATCAACACCGATTACAGTAAATACAGACTAAAATATATGCATCTTAACTTAGAAACAATTACAGTCTCCTAGTTTGTGAAAGGACAAATGTGCCATTAAACAACTGAAGATGGGTTATGTCTTGTACTCACAGGTTTACCAGAGTTGTCACTGAAGTAGATTTTAGTGAGGCCAACATAGATGAGCAGGTACTTCATGCAAACAATCCCACTTTCGTAGCAATCTTTATTTTGAGCCATGATGGACACCTCCGGATCGCCAACACTCTACATATAGACATAAGATTAACAAAAGTATAGTGAGCAATCGATACATGACTCATTATCATCTCTGGCTTCTTTCACACTGTCAGTTTTTGGGATTGACAACCGCATTTAGTTAAAGGTGTGAGTCTCAAAATGTCCCGTTCACACAGCAACTTACAGTAGCGTCTGGAATACTGTCTGTATGAACGTGCAACGGGAGTCAAGCCTGTATTCCTCACCAGTAACCATAGCAACAGTGACCAAAGTAATATCAAAGATGCCAACGTCCATAAAACTGAAAGTCTTATCACTTTCTGACATGACAAGAGTACAATCGAGCTCCGAGTTCATCCGTCAAATCTTCATTAACCGACAGCAGATTTTATATTTGGGTGGAGAGGGGAGCATTTGAGTCGTTTTTTTTTTTTTGAGAAATCAATATTTTTATTCAGCAAGGATGCATTAAATTGATCAAAAGTGACAGAAAAAGACATTTATAATAAAATCTCTAGTCAAGTTAGTCTAGTCTAGTCAACTCTAGTTCAAGTAAATAGTGTTCTTTTGATCTTTCTATTCTAAAAAAAAATTTATCATGTTTTCCACAAAAATATAAAGAAGCACAACTGTTTTCAAGATAATAAGAAATGTTTTTTTCAAATCAGCATATTAGAATGATTTCTGAAGGATCATGTGACACTGAAGACTGGCGTAATGATGCTGAAAATTCAGCTTTGCATCACAGGAATAAATTACATTTTAAAATATATTCAAATAGAAAACGGTTCTCATAAATTGTAAAAATATTTCACAATATTACTGTTTTTACTGTATTTTTGATCAAATAAATGCAGCCTTGGTGAATATAAGAGACTTAAACATTTTATGACAGTAAAATCACACTGACCCCAATCTTTTGAACGGTAATCCCATCCCAGTCTCATCCCAATGGTTGAGCAAGAAGCTGATATGTCGGACCTCTCAAACAAGCAATGTTTTGAAAGTGCCACAGAGTCACTTTGTTTACACTCTTCAGGAATTCAACCAATGAATGTCTTAATTATAGATCTATATATCTGCATATTAAACTAGGATAGGAGAAAGTAATTTAACATTAAAAAGTGACGCATCTTATTTAAATTGCTGATGCATCAGCTCATAGGCAGTATTATATCATATGCAACAAATCCTTGTGTGTTGTTGTGTGTGTGTGTGTGTCTGTGACTAAAGCCATTTCTTTTTGTCGTGATGGAAAAGTCTGTCCCCCGGGTAGATCAGTAGACTCCTTAGAGAATCACTGGCCTTTAGGAGACACCAAAGTCTATTCACCTGCACCTTAAGCATCCACACACACACACACACAAACGACGCACACATGCATACACACTTTCTCAGTCATTAAGGGCAGTAACAGGTTGCATTGCGTAGGCTGATAGGGAACAGATTGCTCTTTGTTATATGCGGCTCTTTGCTGAGTTTCTGTGCTGGGACTGACATTAACTCTGGCTCCATTACCACAGCCCTGTTCTAATTAAAAATCCCCTCTGATTTTCCCAAGATTAGAGGCGGTAGAAGCAGATCTCTTTTCCTGCTACTTTATCCATCCCTACTGAAGTCCGCAACGTGTGAGAGCACACACACGCACACACTCTTTGGCCCTTCGTTAAAAATTCTTCAGTTTAAAGGTGCAACACGTTCCGCTGGTGAAACGCACCCTTTGTTGAAGGCAAGCTGGTAAGCGCCTCTCCACTTGGTCCTAAGACCAGCACACAAGGCAAACGATCGTCGCCGTTTTACAGAACTTGTACACAAAGATATGCTTACTCTTACATTTAAGCTTACCCACACAAAAAAGCACTATTACCATGGTACATGTCCAGAAACCATGGTAAAACTGTCGACCACTGTGGGTTTTTTAAATGACCGATGGTTATAACTACAGTGGAGGGTGGGCAATATACAGTAATGCCTGTAATCCAAAAATGGTAAATACCATTTAAAAGTTTGGGTTAAGTAAGATTTTTTTTCTCGCAAAATACATTATACTTAAGTATTATATGCATTAAATAGATTTTTAAAAAACGACATTAAAGACATTTATAATGATTAAAAAACATTTCTATCTAAAAAAAAAAAAAAGCTGTTCTTTTGAATTTTCTACCGACCCCAAACTTTCAAACAAAGTCTCTAATTTCAAAATAGACAGATATCAGATTTATAGGTCTGGTCAACACGTGTCTAAACAGCATGGTGCATTTTGGCTTTTTTTTTTTTGCTAGAGTCACAAACAAGCACACTCAGGAAGTACCTTGACCAGGTAAACCTGGCAGTCACTGACATAATCATACTCCAGGCCATCAAATGTGTGGTAATGACGGTCACTGTAAATGGTACACACAGCTGGACACGGTGAATATGTGCAGTTAAAGAACCCACGATGACACACACTGGAAAGAGTCAGAGAAACCAAGTGAAATATTACTGAAATATACACACATACACTGTGATTCTGCAATTAGAGGCTTTTCTGATTATTCAAACTATTGAAAAAAAAATTTTTTTTTCTAACAATGGTTCTTCTATATTAAAACAACTATCACATATGGAAAAAATATATAATCACGGCCTTTACCAACCATAAAGTGAATTTTGTTATAATGCATCATAGTGTGGATTTTTTGTTATGACTTGTAATGGTGATGACATTTATAATTTTTGGGAGAAATTTTTAAATGTTTGGGGTTGGTAACACTTTTTCAATGTTTTAGAAAAGAAGTCTCTTATGCTCACCAAGGCTGCTTTTATTTGATTAAAATACATTAAAAATGTAATGTAAAAATGTAATTATTCCAGTGATGCAAAGCTGAATTGTCAGCATCATTACTCCAGTCTTCAGTGTCAAATGATCCTTCAGAAACGATTCTAATATGCTGATTTGGTGCTGAAAACACATTTTAAAAGTTAAAAAGGGATTCTGTCATATATAGCCTTTCAACACTCTTAATTTGGAAATAGTAATTAGACACACCGACGGGGAACAGAAAAGTTCCACTAATTGAAGAATCACCCATTAACAGGAATTATGGAAGCTAAGCACACTGAAACAAACTGACCAGCGGTAGCATGGAGTGTCCACTGACTCTCCAGGGAGATACTCTAGACCGAGCCATGCACAAGGGCAGTTCTCCGGGTAATAGCATTCTCCATTATGAGCCACTAGCCTGCACCAATTGAAGAAGATGGTGTAACATTACATGCTCTGGTGTCAATGGACACGCATACGTTTCAAAACATTTGTTCCAAATGCAAAGACGACAGCGATTACCCAGCAGGACATCCACATCCTGGTACACATGGGGTCATGGGAGGGCAGGTCAGGTTCAGCATCAGGTTTCGACAGGTCAGTTCACAGGCCACGCCCATTCCTGAAGGTCCACGCCCACTCTGACCCCTGCAGCTATAGTAGACTTTTCCATTGGGACAATCTCCTCTCTCAGGCTCTGAAAAAATGGATGGAGAGAGAATGGTTGAAAGAAAGAGTATAATATCAAACTAAACTAAAGTGGTGCTAGTCCAAGCAAAAGTTGTTTCTAATTCAGCTGCTGCGAAATTTATAGTCGGTTGCTTGCTGGACTAAGTCAAAAAACGTCCACCCCCAAGTCTCTATGATATTCTGGTCTCTAGATATGACTCCTGGCTTCAGTCTGACTAAATTTTCCACTCTCCTCAACAAGACACATGACTTCAGGTATCATTTAAAACGATACGGGAAAGAGTTATGTGCCAATGTTTAGCAATTTGAGTTAGGGCTGTGGTCAAATCCATAGTCATGAGTATGAGTAATAGTGATGATTGCACTACTAATAATTATCAAAGGGAATTAGGGTTAACAGGCAACCAGTTCAATCTAAATGGTTAAAATCTATTGAATTGAAAAACAAAAATGGACACATTAATAATGCAGCAACCTGAATACTGTTGAAGATTTTAAATCACAGCCAAATCTTGCAAATGAGCAATGTCCTACTATTTTGTCATTTGGAAAAGTCTGGAAAAAAGTCAAATAGACAAGAAAAAAAGCAAAAAGTGGAATTTGCCGTCTACAACCCCACAAGTCTCCCTCTTTCTTTGTGCATGTGTATCTGAGGTTCAGATCTGTCCAGCATTCAGTCCGCTCAATGCGTTACCTCTGAGGAATGTACTGTGACCCTCTAAGATGAAAACACTTTTTCTCAGGGAAAATAGAGGTAAGAGTGAATAGAGGGTCAAAGAGACTGATGAAATGGAGCAAAGAAAAAGTAAAAAACTAAGTTTACCTCTCTCTTCAGACACACACTCCATACGACCGTTTCTGCAGAGACTAAAGAAAAATCATTATGAAATTTAAACAAACACAGCAATGCCCAAAATAAATTATAAAAATATATACCTGTTAAATAAAAAATTTCATTCAATAAATAGCACACATGTATTATGTATTCTTATGTATGGATAATTAGTTTCCTATGCTCACCATTCCTGCATTTATTTGATCAAAAATACAATAAACATTGTGATATATTATTATCACTAAAAGTTACAAGATTGGGAAATGATGCATTTAGGATTCAAACTCAGCTCGTAAGACCATGCAAACCTACTGCACATCCTCCATGTCCACACACTCACCATGGTCCAGAAGAGCTGAAGGACACTTCACCAGGCTGAAACACTGAACCCATGAAATAACAGTGACACTGGGAGCTGAAAGCAAACAAGACCCAGTGAGAAAAGGAGAAACTATGTCCTTTTATATGCAACTATTCGGAAATAACAAGACGAGGGTTGGGTTGTTGGTGTTTGGTGTATTCAGACGTACAGCAGCACACAGCGCTGGCGAGCGTGATCGTAGAATGTTCCCTCTGTGCAGCTGCATCCTTCAGCACAGTCGCCATCACACACTTCACCACTGCTGATTGACTGACACGTCCTCCCGCATGCTGATGTGCACGGGTGATACATCATCCCTCCTAAACACACCATACCTACACACACATGCATGCTCATATTACTTATTACTCATACAAAGGGCAGATAGACAGACAAACAGATGTAGTGATGACCAACGAACCGCACTCAGAGACGTGTGCTCTGAAGTTGATGGTGACATGATGTTTGTTGCAGATGTATGCGTAGTGGGACAGAGCAGCACAGAGGCAGGCGCTGCCACATCGACAGGCCTGGTAGCGGCACTGCTGGTGGTACATGCTGGGACTCACATATGCATGGCATGGCGCAAACACTTCCTCCAAAAGCACATCACACCTGGCAGCATAAAACACTGAAACAAAAACCTTTTCAGCATCACATGAACGTCTAGAAATCAAACAACAGATTAAATGCTAACGTAAGGATAGATCAATTAATCAGAACTTGATTTGGAGGCTATAGAATTTAATGACATTCTGAATGTGGTTTATTTGCCAAGAGTGCACAAACACACCAAAAATTTGGTATGGTTTCCAGGAGCTCTAGGTACTTACATGCATGCATATATACACAAGGAAATACAGCGAAATAATTAAGTCGAATTTTTAAAAAGTTAACATAATATATTGTACATCTAAAAAAAATACATATAAAGTTAGAAAAACGCAAAGTAATATAAATAATAAATTAGCATCTGCACCTACATTTTGCTCTCTTCTGTAACCTCAGAGTTGACTTTTGGGACAAGCGTGAATATTGTAACTGTGATAAGCAAAGGGAAAACATATGTACCATTTTGCTGGTTCATTTCACAGGGGTCAATAATGGGTATGTTGACAGGGCTTAAGCATGCTGAAGACACTTTCCAGGCGTTGACGTGCAGCTGTGGAGTTCCTTCAATCATCCCGGCAGGAGAACTGGAGGATAATAACACATTTACTTATGCACCAAGCATTTACATTTATGCATTTATGAGATGCTTTTATTCAAAGGGTGTTAGCATTGCATTCACGGTATACATTTTATAAGTTCACGCATTCCCTGGGAATCGAAAACGTGACCTTGGTGTTTCTAGCCAAGCACATACTCATGTCAAGCACACACTTATGTTAATAAAAGAGACTGCATAATGCAACCTAGAAAGATATTGAAAGACATTTAAAATGTTTTGCTGAAAGAAATTCAGAGGTTTAGCCTCCGTTTCTCACAGGAAATCATCCCGTAGGTTTCCGTTGAGGGTCCCGCAGAGGCCGAGCGTGGAGCCCATCCAGGTGCTGTCCAGCTGAAGGTAGATTCGTCCACCCTGCCAATCATACTGAAACCTCAGGCCAAACACAGACCGCAGACCAACAAACATCGACGTTAGCCGCCGAACGTTCACCATGTCTAACAAACAAATAGAAAAAAAGAAATGGGAACTACAATTTAATCCAATATTATTTTTTCAGGTAACATAAATATTTAAATGTGTAATTGTAAAATTTTTGGTTATTTTTGAATTTATTCATTCAATTTAATTTTTATTTATTTTCTTTTGCTGTCTACTTTCTTTATTGCTCTAATAGCTTTTTACTATTCTTAATTATATCTCCATTCTTTTTACTATCATTATGTAATCTCACTATTTCTCAGCATTTTTAACTAACTAAACTCATATATTATATTTATTACTGCATTTCGAAATGTGAAATAAAAGATAATGGACTTTAGAAAAAATTAGAAAAGTAGATATGATCTAGGAATGTCCCTCACAGTTGCGCTTTCATCTAACTAAATAGGCTTCAGCCATAAGAATACATTTACTGTTAAAGTAGCCCAATACTGATGTAAAACTGAGAACCTTACCATCCGAGTAAGGCAAATTGACAGCCATACTGGCCCCAATAACAATTTCCCCCTCTCTGGTGAGAGTGACCTGCCTGCTGACATCTTCATCCACCACCAGAGCCACTGAGTGGATGCAAGAGTGTTCCTGAGACTGAGAGATGAGAGAGCCTCCAGTAAACACACACAAAACGTCTTTGATGACAAACATACCCAGAAACACTCTTCTTACCTCTCCACAGGCTCTGTACTGTAGTGTGACAGTAAACTTGGTGCTGCCACGGCTCTTCACTAGCACATACTGGCAAGAGCCCATGTGCATGAAGATCCGCCCATCGAATGTGGTCACATGTGCGTCACCCATTACTGTGCATTCCGCTGGGGGTTAAAAAATAATCATATTTGAATGCTTTTGCATTCACTCACAAAAGTTTCCTTGAAAAATGTTGTGTTTGCTGACAAAATTTTGCATTCATTGCAAAAGTGTTGTGCTCCCCTGAGAAGCTTTGCATTACTTGCAAAAGTTTTGCGTTCCCCCAAGAAACTTTGTTCACTCGCAAAACTTTTGCATTTGCCTGAGAAACTTTTCTGCTTTTAATTACAAAAGTGTGTTCTCCCCGAGGAACTTTGTATTTGATCGCAAAACTTTTGCGTTCACCCAAAATAAAATCCCATTAGCTTGCAAAACTTTTGTGCTTGCCCAAGAAACTTTGCGTTCACTCAAAAAAGTTTTGCATTGCCCTAGAAAAATGTTGTGTTTGCTCACAAAAGTTTTGTGCTTCCCTGAGAAATGTTATATTTGATTGCATGAACTTTTGCATTTGCCCCCCAAAAAACTTTGCATTTCATACACAAAAGTTTTGCGTTCACTTGCAAAGGATGCTAACGTTTTGTTAGCGAATTTTCTCGGAAGAACATTACATTAAAAAACATTGTGTAAAAAGAACTTAGTAGTTACGATAAACCTAAAATACAAAGATGTCTGTTTTTTTAAATGCTTTTAGTATGGTATTCTGTAAAACTGGAGGATTATATCTCCATTCTTTTTACTATCATTATGTAATCTCACTATTTCTCAGCATTTTTAACTAACTAAACTCATATATTATATTTATTACTGCATTTCGAAATGTGAAATAAAAGATAATGGACTTTAGAAAAAATTAGAAAAGTAGATATGATCTAGGAATGTCCCTCACAGTTGCGCTTTCATCTAACTAAATAGGCTTCAGCCATAAGAATACATTTACTGTTAAAGTAGCCCAATACTGATGTAAAACTGAGAACCTTACCATCCGAGTAAGGCAAATTGACAGCCATACTGGCCCCAATAACAATTTCCCCCTCTCTGGTGAGAGTGACCTGCCTGCTGACATCTTCATCCACCACCAGAGCCACTGAGTGGATGCAAGAGTGTTCCTGAGACTGAGAGATGAGAGAGCCTCCAGTAAACACACACAAAACGTCTTTGATGACAAACATACCCAGAAACACTCTTCTTACCTCTCCACAGGCTCTGTACTGTAGTGTGACAGTAAACTTGGTGCTGCCACGGCTCTTCACTAGCACATACTGGCAAGAGCCCATGTGCATGAAGATCCGCCCATCGAATGTGGTCACATGTGCGTCACCCATTACTGTGCATTCCGCTGGGGGTTAAAAAATAATCATATTTGAATGCTTTTGCATTCACTCACAAAAGTTTCCTTGAAAAATGTTGTGTTTGCTGACAAAATTTTGCATTCATTGCAAAAGTGTTGTGCTCCCCTGAGAAGCTTTGCATTACTTGCAAAAGTTTTGCGTTCCCCCAAGAAACTTTGTTCACTCGCAAAACTTTTGCATTTGCCTGAGAAACTTTTCTGCTTTTAATTACAAAAGTGTGTTCTCCCCGAGGAACTTTGTATTTGATCGCAAAACTTTTGCGTTCACCCAAAATAAAATCCCATTAGCTTGCAAAACTTTTGTGCTTGCCCAAGAAACTTTGCGTTCACTCAAAAAAGTTTTGCATTGCCCTAGAAAAATGTTGTGTTTGCTCACAAAAGTTTTGTGCTTCCCTGAGAAATGTTATATTTGATTGCATGAACTTTTGCATTTGCCCCCCAAAAAACTTTGCATTTCATACACAAAAGTTTTGCGTTCACTTGCAAAGGATGCTAACGTTTTGTTAGCGAATTTTCTCGGAAGAACATTACATTAAAAAACATTGTGTAAAAAGAACTTAGTAGTTACGATAAACCTAAAATACAAAGATGTCTGTTTTTTTAAATGCTTTTAGTATGGTATTCTGTAAAACTGGAGGATACGTTTTTTTTATTTACCAGTGCAATTGTTTTCGGTGCAGTTCCACACTCCTCCCATACAGACACTGAAAATGTAATTCACATTAGATGCATTCACCCATGAATTTGACACATGACTGGTTCGCTTATTATGGAAAGATTTTCTATTTTTAGCTACTGTGGTTAACTAGTGGTTCAAAATTTGTTTTAGGTGTAAAAAGAGTAAAAATTAGATTTTTCTAACCAGACAGTACAGCCCTGCTCCAATACATGACCAAGAGGATATGCTGTACCATGGTACACACAGGGGCACTGAGACACTGCTATACAGGTTCCATTCTGCAAAATCAGACCTGAGACAGGCCAGAGAGAAAGAGAAGCCATGAGTGAAAAAAGTTAAATAACTACAGCATGCATTCTGAAGTGCCCTAAACAGCTCAACAGCTAAACAACATTTGTACTCTCCTTATAATAGCAAACAATCACAAATATTAACATTTTGACTCCCATTTAAGCATCTGATTATTGGTCTTACCATCTGGGCAGTAGCATCCATCCAGACAGTGTAGATTGGTGCCTAAACACTCCTTCTCGAATGTGCATGTGGGTGGGCAGCAGCTGATACAGTCTCTGTGGACAAAACTATCCTCACATCCGTCCGCTGAAATACAAACATATCACATCACAAGCTGCAAAGTTTATGTCATGTGTTTCCTTCATGACATGAAAGCCGACTGACCGCATGTAGGAAAACTGTCCCTCCATTCTCTGACGGGGTATCCCACATGAGAACAGGCCCTGGTGTACTCAACAAGAGTCCGACAAAATGTCTCCTCATCATCTGATCTGGAGATTAAAAAAAAAAAAAACTTAAAATGTAATAAACCCAAAACAGACCAAAGGACAAATAGTTCTAAAAAAAAAAAGAACGTAGGGGAAAAGTCAGTACTTTTAGTATGGTGATATGAGACTGTACAGCTGCAAGTTCAACATGCTCCTGCAACCTGATCCTCTCACTACCTCTTCAATCAACAGTTGAGTCTGAATCTGTTCATAAACTCTAGCAGCTATTTCATCACTGTAATCAATACACACTACACACACACACTCATAACAAATACTCATACAATGCACAGCATGCACAGCACACACATACCTATAGTATAGGCTATACATATATTCACAA